TCCTCTGTCACCACCTGGACATGACCACACTGCAGCACTGGGAGGTGGGGAGATTGAACTGGAACACAGCATGTGGGAGACAAGAGAGTCAAGGACAGAGACCCAGTGAGACTCAGAGGTAGGCACTCCACAGCTCACCTGACCTCATCCAGCCCTAGCAGGCAGATGAGGCAGCAGGGACTCAGACTGGCTCAATGGGAGGAAAAGATGATGTGAAGAGAGTTGGACTTGGGGGGTTGGTGCATTGAGCTTGATGAGCATCAGGTTGTGGATATTTGTAGAGCGGTTTTACTGTGTGTGTGGAACAGAGTAATTGCCCTCAATCACCTGGCTGTCTGGTTCTTGGTTTCGGTTGAGGCTGTACAGGTCCAGCCGATGGTGTAGGAACTGAGGACCACGTGTGCAGGTCAGTGACATGGCAACCACATCCCCATCTCCATTCCCAACCCAGCTCCACTGCCACCCTCAATCCTAAACTCATTTCCAATCACATCCCTTCCTTTTACCTCATGGCCAAGAATATGGGGCTCAAGTAACAGCCTGCCTGATCTCACTCACCACCTGAGGGGCTGAGCTGAGTGAGTTTTCCATCATAACAGACTCCACTTTCCTGTCCTCTCTGGGTCCCATTCCCAGGCTAGATGTAATTCCCTTCAGCCTGTCTCCATAGCTGGGTCACCCACCCTCACCTGCATAGAGACTTCAGTTCTTAACACTCCAGCTCCCAAACCTGCCCAAGGAGCAGAGGCCATGCCTCTGGGGCAGACGCTATGCACCTGGAACCAAGACCACACCGTGGAGCCAAGGTAGCGCCCCTAGAGCCAAGAGCAAGCCCATGGCCAGAGCGTGCTCATTCAGTTGAAGACACACCCCTAGCCCAGACCACAGTGGAGCCAAGGCCACACTCAAGAGTCTAGGGGCCCAAGGTGCAGAGGCCATGGAAGATTAAATCAGCAACCCATGACAGGCCCCTCTGTTGTTTTTTATTCCTTCATTTATTGACTCATCCCTTAAACTAGTTAACTAATTTATTCCCTTTTGTCCTGTAACATAGCTCAATGAATTGTCTAAATTCATGAAGGATAGGAATCAGAACAAGCACAAAGCTGATTCCTATGAGGCAGAGGTCAGGTATAGCTCCACTTTCCCACTTCTCCATTATTTCTGACACCTGCTGTCCCTCCCACAGCACTCTACTTATCTGTTGGCTTCGAAAATTCGTTCCAACAGCCACAGAACTCGCAAACCATACTCAGTTATGTGGTTTATTAGGGAAGTAACAGGCTACAACTCCGGATCAGGATCAACTTGACGTAACAGAAACAGCTCAGGATCAGGTCAGGAAGCACACGAAGTCTGGAAGTGTCCCCAAAGTGTCAAGCACACATCCTTCTACTCTTCAGTGCAGGACAGCTTCTAACCAGGACAGCTCTCTCAGCTGCTCTCTGCCATCAGGCCTCTCTGCCATGGGACCTCTGTCATCGGGCTTGTCCATTGTCAGCCTCTCTGCTGCTAACTGGCCCAGCTCATAGCCAGTGGAGCAGTTTCAGGACCACTTGACTCTGACATGGCTCTGCTTCTCTGCCATCTAGTATCTCTCTCTCAACCAGGAAGCCTCTAAAAACTTTGTTGCAGCCATTTATATATCCTGATACTGTACCACCCTCACCAGCCAGAGTTCAACCAATCCTCAATTACCCATGAGATGTCAATCAACTCAGGTCTTGTTAATTACCAAAAAAAAAAGTATCGAACCATCAAGTTATTTACAGTTTAACCAGGAAAGGTAGATCAACCTGGGGAATCCCCAGGGCAAAAGTAACAAACCCTCTGGGGTAGAACACAAACTAGGAATGCCCACCCCCAGTTGCTTCTCGAAAGAACTAGGGCAAAGGTAACAACTCAGGGCTTAGGGAAAAAATCTCCCAAGCTGTTTTTCCAAAGAACCAAGGCAAAAGGACACATAAAGGAATTCATTGCACCACATATCCCCATTACCCACTCCAATCCCATCCTCCCCAGAGGAAACACTTCGTGTTAAAACCAGTTGCCCTTGAGTCAACCCCAACTCATTGTGTCCCCAGGTGTGGCAGAGTAGAACAGTGCTCCATAGGGTTTTCAATGGCTGATTTTTTTGGAAGTAGATTGCCAGGCCTTTCTTCTGAGGTGCTTCTGGGTAAAATTGAATCACCAACCCTTCAGGCAGCAGTCGAGCCCTTAACCATCTGCACCACCCAGGGACTCATCAGTGTATTTACTGGACTTCTTTTACCTGATTGTGCTTTTGTAGAATGAGTCTGTGTGTGTATGTACTTTTAATTTATGGACTGGTATTATGCCATATGTCTCACTTTTTCATTCAGAGCTAGATTTTAAGAACCCTCCTTGTAGCTGTGTGTATGTCTGGTGGGTTTTATTTTAAGGTTTGTCCTTGGTGTGTGTATGTCTGGTGCATTGTGCTTCCAACTTCTGCTCAGTGCTCCACTGAGTGCATCTGCCTCATGTCACCGTCCACTCTCCCAGGGTGGACGCCCATGCTGCCTCCATCTCTCTTCCCCCACAAGTAACATGCCATTAGCCTCCTTACGTGTTCTTGAAGAACCTGTGAGAAAATGTCTCCAGATGCTGCCAATGTCCACTGGGAGGCGGTGGGGCAAAACTGCCCCATTTGACAGTCACCTCTCTCTGTCCTCTTTCTCTCCCTGCCCCTGAACCCCCCACCTCAGGATGAAAGGTCAGGAAACTGGGGAGAGTCTAGCCTCAAACAGGTGGTCTCAACCTTCCAGGTGCCCGATGTCTAGAAAGGCCACATGACTCCAGAGCTTCATGCATATTTGATTTTACTGAGAGTAGAAGACAGACAGAGGTATTCAGGAGTTGGGCTGCCATGGTGTCTCTGATTGACCCCACATAAGGCATCAGTTTGGTGAAGACGGAGGGAAAATTGTAGATGCCACATGGGAAGTTGCCCACTGCCATGGTACCTTGTAACATTCCATCACAGATCAGTGGGCCCCCTTTGTCACCCTAGGAGCACAAAGGAGAGAGAGAAAAGTCAGCAAGGACCCTCATTATGTCTATGAACCCCTCAGGCCTGGGCTTGAAATCACAGACAGTAACTCCCCAGCTCTGGGGAAAGAGACAGTTGTCTCCAGAATCCACCCGTAAAGAAGATAGGGATTCCAATAGAGAGGACAGTGGCTGGAGCCCTGCCCAGGGGGGATGGCGGCACATCAGTGTCTAGTTTCTGCATAGGGGCAGGGTCCAGGAGGCCAGCCACTGCAGACAGGTCAGTGGGGAGGAAGAGCAGGATCCATCTACATGACCCTCCTACCCTCAAGGCTCATCTCAGATGTCACCCCACCCACGAGGCACTGAGGAGCTACAGAAGGACTGCGAGCAGGAGAGGGGCAAGGCCAGTTCTGACAGTAGAATGATCCACTGGGATCAGGTAGGAGATGGCTGGAGGGGGAGACTGCAGGCCAGGGGACTGAAGAATGCTAGGCGGGGGAGGGTCCAGGTGGGAATAAGGCCAGGCTGGGGCAGTGGAATGGAGAGGAGATGGTTAGAGCACCAGGGGGCAGCATGAACTGGGCTTGAGGATTGATCCATTGGGGAGGGGTAGGGATGAGACTGTCCAGTGACTAGGGGACTGGGGAACCTAGAGTGGAGGAGGGACGGGTTTGATGGAAGCCGCTGGGCTCAACTGGGACCTGGTGAGTGTTCTGAGTGAGTGAGAGAGTGTGTGTGGGTGTGGGTGTGGGTGTGGGTGTGGGTGTGGGTGTGGGTGTGGGTGTGGGTGTGGTGGGGGGATGCAGTGTAGATGTCTCCTTGAAGATGCTCAGCTGTGGCTCAGGACAAAAGGTGGGGATAATCCTTGACTCTTCTCTGCCTCTCCCTCCCCACTTGCAATCAGTCAGCATAACCTGTGGGCTCTCTTTCAAAGGTAGGGAGAATCTGACCCCTTCTCCCACTGTCCCTGGCACCACCCCAGGTCCAGCCCCCATCATCATTCGCCTTCATTGGCTCCCTACCTCTCCTCTCTCCCTGCGGTCCCCACACAGCAGCCAGAGGAAGCTGCTGTCACCCAAGTCAGATCCTGCTCTGCTTCTGTTCAACACCTTCCCACAGCTCCTATTTCTGAGGAAGAGCAGAGTCCTCACTGCGACCCATGAGGTCCTGCAGAATCTTCCCCCTTTTTCCTTCTCTGATGTCATCTCCTGGCCTCTCCTCCTTCATCACTCAGCTCCAACCACAATGGGTCCTCGCTGTTTCTCAGAAACACCAGGCCCACTCTGCCTCAGGCCCTTTATACTTGCTGTTCCCTACATCCTTCCCCAGGATTCCCACACGGCTCACCCCTCACCTGCTCCAGGTATTTACTCAGTCTCCGTTGTCCATGGGGTCTCTTCCTAACCCAGTCGTTTATCCCCCCAGCTCTTTTATCCCTCCTCTCTGCCCACACAGCACATCTCACCTCCTGACATACACTATCATTTATGTGTTATGCTTATTGTTGATGTCTGTTGCCCCTCACCAGAATAGCAGCTCAATGAAAGAGGGACTTTCTATGTCTTGTTCACTGCTGTCCTCCCTGGGTCTAGGACAGTGCCAGGCACGTAGTAGATACTCAGTAAATATGTGGTAAAGGAGGGAATGGACAGACTATGAAGTGGAATAGAGAGACACTGGTGGTACGTGGAGCGAGGAGTGGGAGAAGGGGCTGAGACCCTGGGCAGGGGGTAGATCTGGGTTCCCTCCCACATCCCTGCAGGTCCCGGGGGCAGCGGAGAGCCTGACTTACTCTGCAGGTGTCTTGGATGACCATCAAATTCCCATTGCACAGCATGAAATCCATCATCATGTGGATGTCAGGACTGCTACACTCGGTGTTGGACATGAGCATGCGGTCCACACACTGAGACTGTCTGAGAGTGACACTATGGGCCAGGGGAAATAGGGCTGTAGCCAGACCCCCATGGTTCCAGCATTTCCTCCCTCACTCCCAGGAGTCCTGGCACCCACTCTCCTCCTCCCTTAGGCCCAGGAGCCTGGGCTCCATGTGGCACATTCTGTCCCAGGTGGACATTTATCTGGATCGATGCTGCCCCAGCCTGAAACGGTGCGGTGCTCCCCACGTCAGGCTCCCAGGTGGACAGGTCCAGGACCTTCACCGCGTCTGTGATCTGGGTGGCCTCCTTCAGATGGGGCAGCATGAGGTCACGGCTGGTGTTATCTTCTGAGGTAATGTTTTCCTTTTCTAGGAGACTAAAATTGAAGTACAGACATGGGAAGCTATGGCTGACTTGGACAAGCTGAGTTGGGTCTTCTTGAGCTTTTAGGCTGTGACAGCCCAGTGAGACCTGGTAATTTCTAGGGGATGGGGGCAACGGAAGATAGGATAGAAGAGCAGGGGGGGAGGGCCCTAAAATGGCTTCTGACATCAACTCTCTGGAATTAGGCCAAACTTCACAGGTCAACAGCCCATTCTTCACAAGACTGCCCTCACTTCAGACACCACCCACAAGCTCGAGGGTCTCCAGGGCACCTCACTTCTGATCAGCTGGCCAGCAACTTAGAGGTTCCCACAGACTGACTCCGGTTTGACAATTTGCCAGAACAACTCACAGGGTGAAATCAGTAAAGATCTGTACTTATAAGTTTATTAGCGAAAGGATAAAAATCAGATCCTCTGAAGGAACACCTGAAGAGACTCCCCCAGAGACTCCTCTGAGATACCCTCCTCCCCCAAAAATCTCCAGAGATTCCCTCAGGAGAGCCCCATAGCCTGTTCAGGCTCCTACTGACCAATGACTTGGCCCACGTTGGCGCACTTGTTCCTCCTGCAGTCAGTCCAGAAGCCCAGGTAACCCGTGTAGGAGCCCTCAGCATAGGCCACGTGCCCATCGCCCACACTGAGCATCATCATGGCCGCGACGATGCTGAAGACCAGAGACCAGCCCCGCAGGATGAACTTACGGTCCTCCTCCCAGGGAAGAGACCAGGTCCTCTGGGAAACAAACAGAGTTCTGGGGCCTGGTCTGCCTACATCACTCTGTTGGATTCTTAGTCCCCATCCCCCCACCCCAAACCTTGCCTTTACCCCATTCTCAACCCATTTCCATCCCCAACCATCTCCTCTTCCTCACCCAAACCCCAACCACAGCATCATCCCATCTCTATTCCTACCCAACCCCGAACCTTAACTTTGTCTCCAGCGCTATCTACAATACCATCCCATCCACAATATTCTCTCCGTCCTAAACCCTAAACACAATCCTATCCCCATCTCTCACTCCAAATGCATCCCCATTCCCATCCCTAACCCTAACGCCAAACTCATTCCCCACCCACAACCTCATCCTAGCCCCAAACCTACTTGTTTTGTCTCCAACCCCAACCTCCATCCTGGGCCTGCCCTGACCCCTTTCTCACCGTATTTTGTCTTTACTTTGACACCTCTCTATCCTCTGACCCCCTCCCGAGCCTACCTTGACATCTCTTTGATCCAGCCCTGACCCCATACTAACCCTGCCCTGACCTCTCTTTATCCAGCCCTGACCCCATATTAACTCTGCCCTGATGTTTACTGATGCAATCCTCACCCTGATCCAGCCTTCAGGTCACTCACCCAGGGATAGAATGGGGTTCAAGTCCATGGCCAACTTCCTAACTTCCTGGAACCACTCCAACTGTCATGGAACCTCCCAGTGTCCCCAGCTGCCGGCTGAAACCCTGAGACCTGCCTGTGGATAGCAAAAGAGACCAAGAAACACAGAAGAAGGGGTAACAAGATCCAAACCCTATGGGACAGAGCCTGAACCCTGGAGAGAGACAAACCAGCTTCCAGGTGACCACAAAGATGCTGGGAAGGAGGGTTTGAGGCAGTTGGCAGGCTGGTGACTACATTGGGGACTGGCCCTGCCCAGCATCCCCTCATGTCCCAGAGGCCCCCATATGGCTCCCAGAACAGCCAGCCAGGTGTCCTTCCAACCCTTCTCAACAACCCCCACACCAACCCCCAAGACACTACATCAATTAGTCACAGTCGCCGGGTGAGTATCCAGGAGCCTCCACCAATTATCCACAGTCGCCGGGTGAGTATCCAGGAGCCTCTGCCAACAAGCCACAGTCGCCGGGTGAGTATCCAGGAGCCTCTGCCAACAAGCCACAGTCGCCGGGTGAGTATCCAGGAGCCTCTGCCAACAAGCCACAGTCGCCTGGTCAGTATCCAGGAACCTCTGCCAACAAGCCACAGTCGCCTGGTCAGTATCCAGGAGCCGCTAACTAGCCTAGGTCGCCGGGTTAGTATCCAGGAGCCTCCGTCAACTAGCCTAGGTCGCCGGGTTAGTAACCAGGAGCCTCCACTAACTAGCCTAGGTCGCCGGGTCAGTATCCAGGAGCCTCCACTAACTAGCCTAGGCCGCCGGGTTAGTAACCAGGAGCCTCGGTCAACTAACCAAGGTCGCCATGTCAGTACCCAGGAGCTTCTGCCAAGTGTCCAAAATCGCCGGGTCAGTATCCAGGATGCCCCATCAGCCATCTACAATCGCCGCTTCAGTAACCGAGAATCTCTGTCAGTTTACCAAACTCGCCACTTCAGTGGCCAGAGTGCTCTGAAACACAGCTCCCTGGCCAATCTCGAATCACTTACCCAACAGGACAACAGTGGCATCCAAGGCCCCTCATCAATAACTCAGAGCCTCCAGTTAAGCACCCAAGGCCTCCTATCACTAGCCCAGTCCAGTTCTGATGCCCTCTCATTGGCTACCCACAGCCGTGAGAGCAATGTCAAAATCATCGAGTCAATTATCTGGAGCTCCCAAGAGAATTCCAAAGACAGCTTTTCCAGTGCCAAACCCCTCCAAACTCCTCCAGACAGCAAGAACCACACCTTCCAGTCAGTCATCTCCCTTATGAGAGAGACTAGCAGGTGAGAGGCAAGGTTGGCAGGGATCCCCAGGGGAGGGGCAGCAGTCAAAGGACGGGGCCCGGAAGCATGGCTTGGTGTATCTGAGACTGGATGCTGGACCTAGGGCTTAGAAGCTGGACCTGAAGAGAGCATAGCATAGAGGCTGGACTTACTATTCAGCCTAAAGACAGAATTTGTGTGTTGTACAGTCTGGAAGTTAGACCTGGGGGCAAGGAAGCCTGGAGGCTGAGTCTCAGGGAGCAAATCCTAGAGGTGGGGTTTGAGGGATTCACGGCCTGGGAGATGATCAGGTGGGAAAGATAGTCTGAAGGCTAGACTGAGTGTGGCAGGGTTTTGCAGGGGGACCTGGGGTGGCCAGGCTGAGTGGCCAGACTGGGTGCTGATACTAGCAGTGGGTGGTCTGCTGCAGGTCTCACCGCAGAAGTAGCTGCCCCTTTACACTGCTGCCCTTTGGCTGGCAGCTGCTGCATGAGGCCAAGAAGATCAGCCGCATGGTGAGCCTGGCACTGAGCCTGGCCGGCATGGTGATCATCAGTCTCATCTCTCTGGGCCAGCCCTGGATGCACTTCCAGGTGCCACTGAGGCCCCCTGGGGACCCTGCTGGCTCCCAAACCTTCCCGATCAACACTATCTTCTTCGTGCGGTGCGTGGACATCTCCTGCCTGCGGGAGTATGACCAGAATGCTTGTAAGGCCTGCCCCATTCTTGCCATTACTGGGACTCATCTCTCCTCCTTGTTCCAGGGACCCTCTTCTCCTGTCAGGGGACAGTTCCTCCTTTTCCTAGGATGATCCTTCCTGCCCCTTCCCCCTCCCCATAGCCCTCTCTTCCCCTACTGCCCCTCAAGATAGCCTTCCCTGCCCCTCCCCCCCAGATGATCCCCCCTGACCCCTGGGATGAGCCTCCCTGCCCCTGGGATAGCCCTTCCTGCCCCGAAGATGGTCCTCTCTGCCCCTGGGATGGTCCACCCTGCCCCCATGGTTGTCCACCCTGCTCCCAGATGGCCATCACTGCCCCAGGATGGTCCCCCGTGCCCTTGGGCCTGGGATGGCCCTCTATGCCCCATGATGGTCCTCCCTGCCTCTGCCCCCAGGATGGCCCTCACTACCCTGGGATGGCCCTCAATGCCCCAAGGACCATCCTCACTGTTCTGTGCTCATCCTCAACTACATGAGACCCATCCTCACAATCCTCACAGACTTAGGATCTTACACACTACACTGTGGCTATCTTTTTCACTCCAGGGAACCTGTCTTCACACGTTCCTCAATAACACCCCACTTTCCATTGCCCAAGAGCCTGTCTTCACTGACCCAAGTGTATCCTCAGTGCTCAGGCTGTCTGCCTCAATACCCCTTCTTTAGACCTGAGTATCAATTTTATTAAAGTAAGGATGAAAAATATGCAAGGGAGGGGCCTGAGAAGACTCCCAGCCTCACTAGTGACCCTCTCTCCCATGGTCAGAGCCTGAGGGTCAGTCTTGGTGTTCCTGATACTCTCCCTTCCTGATACTCTTCCAGACTTGCTGGACTGTGCCTGGCTCTTCATCCTCATCTCCAGCCTCACTGGTTTCTGCATCTGCATCACCCTCCTAAATACCATCTTCTTTACTAGCTCCAACTTGCCCATGCTGGACTTCTCCACCTTCATCGCCAGCACCCTGACAGGCATGGCTCTGAGATCTTTCCCTCGGGACCAAGGCGAGGAATGGCTCATCTAGTGCCCATCACTATACCCAACCTCATCCCCACCACACACCAATCCCATCCCTATCCTCATCCCTCATCCCAACCCCATCTCCCTCCCAACCTCCAAACTAACCCAATAAAAAATTCTCAATCCCCAACCTAACTCCATCTCCAGCCCCAATCTAGCCTCAACTTCACCTCCCATCCCCATCACCAACAAATCTTAAATTCATCCACATCCCCTTCTGTGAGGTCTAAACCACTCCCATTACCATTCCTATCCCCTTCACAAATCTCAAACACCCAACTCAACCAATGCCTAACCATCCTCAACACTACCTTCAAACGCAACCCAACTCTATTGCCTATGAACTCAACCTGAAAGTCAACCCCAATCCCTCTCCAACCCCATCTTTTTCTCCTTCCCAATTCCCATCCCGAACCACAACCCACCCCATCACCCGTGAACCTTAACCTCAAATTCAGTCCAGCCCATTCCCAGTTCCATCCTCGACCCAATCGCCAATCCATCCCCATCACCAACCCCAACCTTATCCTTAATGACAACCCATCCCACCCATAACCATAACCCCATCCCTACGCCCAACACCTCAACCTTATTACTCAACAAAATTCAACCTCTACCAAAATCCATTTCCAGTTCCAAACCCATCCCCAATGCCATGCCAAATCCTGCCTCACACCACCACCACCAGTTCTGTGACTTTGTTCAAGCTACTTAATCTTTCTGAGCTGAAGTCTTCTCATTTGTAGGATCGACATAAAATTTCCTACCACGTGGAGATGTAGTTAGGATTGAATTAGAAAATGTCAGTAATTGATGGTACTCATTTAACTTTGCAAAAATCCTTACTGTGATAATCCTCCCTCTCCCAACCAAATAACTCTGAACTGATACTTTACTAGAATTATTTCATTTTCCATTTATATACCAAATCACACTTTTTAAAAAAAAGAGATTTTAATTTGAAAAAGAGAGTTACCGTGTTCCTGTCCTTTGCAACAAATGACCCCAACTTTTAGTTGCATCAAAATATTCCTGGAGAGTGATGGTAAGGCCAAGAACAGAGAACACTCAAGATCTTGTTTACTTGTTAGTAACTGATAGTTATCCAGTTTGTCTAACAGCTCTTCCTAATTGTTTAAATGTAAGGTACAAATTGGAGCCCTGGTGGCAAAGTGGTTAAGAGCTCAGGCTCCTAATTCAAGGTCAGCAGTTTGAATCCACCAGTTGCTCCTTGGAAACCCTATGAGGTAGTTCTACTCTGTATAGGCTTGCTGAGCTGGAATCAACTCGATGTCCATGGGTTTTTTTTAAAAGTCCAAATGGTAGAAAACAGCTCAGTTTTGGGTTTTTTTCCCAATGGGTGGGTTAAGTCATTTTCTTTTTGTTGTTGTTGTTGTTGTGATCCATAAGGTTTTACTTTTTTTAAAAAAAAAAAATTGAACAGCTCGGTTTTATACCATCTCCAATAAAACATTTGTCTATATGAAAATATCTGCCCAAGCCCCCATTTTATTAAACAGAAAAATCTCCTATATTATTTTTCAATAACAAAAGAAAAATTACTCAGGACTCCATTAGTTGAAAAAAACAAAAAACAAAAAACCACCAAAACAAGCCTTTTACTTTTCACAAACTATCTTTAATTCATTTCATTTCAAAATAGAATTAAGGTATCCAGAATGACTTCCAATGCTTCAGAAGCCCAAAATTAAAGACCTAATATAATGATAATAATCAGTTCCAATTTTTGAGTGCTTACCATATTCCTGGAGCTGTAACAATTTCAATCACTCCTTATGATAGCCCTATGATTCATTTTATTTTCAAATGGAATGAATTAAAGAAAGCTTGTGAAAAAGAAAAAGCTTTACATATGAGGGATCCAAGGCTCAGAGAGATAAAGTGGCTGCCCTATGGTGAGAGGCAGAGGTGGTATGAGAATCCCGGTCTGCTGGCCTCAAAGCCTGTGGTTTTGGACACAACCATTGCCTATTAAACAGTGGTTAAGAGCTCAGGCTGCTAACTGAAAGGTTGGCAGTTTAAATCCACCAGCTGCTCCTTGGAAACCCTATGGGACAGTTCTACCCTGTCCTACAGGGGCACTACGAGTCAGAATCAACTTGACAACAACGGGTTTTTTTGGTTATCGCCTATTAAAGACCAAGGCTCACACTTCCAATGTCCTTGTCAGGAGCCCATTTTCCTGAATTTGAGCAGAGGCACAGGGTCTGAGAGGTTAGAGAAAGTGTGGAAATAATAAACAAGAGCTTGGGAGCCATACAACTACAGGCAGGGGTCCTCATACAATTGATTTTCAGCTTCCTAACACCTGTGCTCACACAGTGACCAGCATGATATTGGGTGTCCTGTTCTACCTGCTGCAGGCCCAGGAGTACCTGCAAGAAGGCATGACCTACAGGCTGGGGCGCAGCTTCTACT